ACAAGTTGATAAGTGTTATTAGAGCCTCCAGGAGGCAAACACAGCTGTGCACCATCCATGATGCGGTCGACGTGATCTTTCACTAACTGCGAAAATGGGTTCGTGGTTCCCCATCTTCTTTCGTCCAGAGGCGTGCCCGGTTACAAGTTCTATGTCAACCTAATACCACCTCTCGATGGGCCTCGCGAAGAAATATTTTGTGTACTAGGGCGAGTCTAACTTAGGCGAACCTGAGACAAAACCAACTGTGTTATCACACCTCCCAATGGACCAGCAGTTCGTGAAATCCCGTATGTTATAAATCATCAAAAAAGCATCGAAAGAGGGATTCTTTCTGAGGTGATCACACATGCCAGTCGGTAAGCAATCGAGTGGAAAATGATATTGGGAGGCAGGCGGTAGAGCGTGCATTGGAGCCTAAGAAGAGTTTTTGTCAATGTAGGGTCCAACGGGAAACGCAACCTCAAATTCACCTACTCTACATGAACGGGTATCCAGCCACTAGGGCACAAACCTGACCGGCTCGTGTCAGACGGAGCTACATACTCCCAGTCCGGTGGGAGCAGCAATGCCTTTAGACGGTGTAGAACTTGCTCAACAAAAAAATTTGCCTCATAAGAAGGTCCTAAGGTAAAGATGTCGGGCGGGACCGCCTTCCCACGCCACATACCTTTGTGGTGAAACATAGTGTATGTTAAATCCTTGATAGCAATAGGAGGACTCTCCTCTTCATACTCTGTAAGCTCTAGCATGAAGACAAAGTACTAGAAAGGGAGTTCGAATGCATTCCCTCACTATCAACTACATTTTCATCCTCAGAGGAACCACTATTTAGGTCTACATTATAAGTCTAGTTCGGATAAATGTCATTCACACTTAGAAACACTGTGAACGGGGGGAAAACAAGTCGTACCTTGGGTAGCAAGAGCATTCCAGCCAGATGACTCCCCCTTCTTCTTCCCGGATGAGCGAGAGGATAGTTGTTCCATCACGACTGTCGGAGCTTTGTCCACGATGGTTGGAATCAGAGTCAGAGCTTTGTCCACGGTAGCTGGAATCGGATTCACCTCAAGGGTGACATCCCCAATGGCGGTGGAACGCTCCTCGCCAGCAGCAAATGCCGCTCTACTCTTGCTCAAAATCTGGTGACGAGCAGGCATGAGAACCGACGGATCCCGGGTTTGCAGATGGCGAAGAAAGCGAGAACCCGAAATACTGGGAAATGGCAGTGTTCGCAAGAGGAAAACACGACACAGATGGTTAGAAGAGAAACAAGAACGCATGCAATCAACAATGCCTAGAAGAAAAGCGAGTGGAGAAAAGAACTTACCAGGAATGACGCAAAAAACTTTATAGGCGAAGAGGACAATGAACTCTGGATTGTTCGTAGAAGAGAAAAGCAGCAAGTCGACGATGATTTACCTGAAGTGGAAACAGAAATGGCGGAGAGACTGACTCTCGGCCTCTTTAAAGCAAGAATACAAAAGTGAAAAACAGAAGTGACATTTGACATACCACTATTAGGGCTCCACGCCCGATGAATGACACGTGACATCACAAAGGCAAGGAGTGACGAGTGTCGCACGACACGTGACTCGCTAAAACACAACTCCTAACAATGGTCAAGTGTAACCAATGAATGAGACTGCAGTATAGTGGCACAAGTGATAAATATCGAATCAACGGTTCTCTAAAGTTACTATTACTCAACTTCAGTTATTTATATATATCAAATCAAATTAAAATAGAAGAACTTTAACTACTCTACCAAACTCTAATTAAAGTTAATCTAATTACAGATTGGGAACTCACTTAGGTATGATTCCCCCTAGCTCCTCAATTAGGTTCAAGTTGTAATCTCCCTTGGTTGATTTACTGTTGATTAAACTGCGAAAGATCTGAAAATAGCTAGGAATCTCTTAAACTGACCAAGCCTCTTACACAGATTATCCAGCAGGCGGCTAGCCTTCACTAGGATAGAATGCTAAGGCGATTCACACAAATCTCCACTACGTGGAACGAATTCCAGTACAAAGAAGTGAATTAACTGACTCACGTACAATCAATTCACTACTATCAATCAAGGAAGCTCTTTTAACCAAATCAGATTCTATCTATCAAAGGTTAAAGCAGAAATTAAGAGAATTTGATCAGGATTAAATTGCCTCAATAAATAATGCCTCAATCGATTATAATCAAATAGTATAGCATCCAAAGTTTCATACAAGAAAGATCCTAGCACATGGAACTAGGGTTCCTCAAAACCTAAGTGAAGGGAAGTTACTCACAGAGAAGACAGAGACTGCAGAAATCTAATCTAGATCTTCAATGTCCATCTCCAAGTTTGATTCCTGAGCTCCAATGGGAAAAAGTCCTTCAAAAAAGCACCAAGAATGTTCCCAAGTCGCTCTCTTTCTATAGGATTCGTCCCTTGGATGTTTGGGATCCAAAACTCAGCTCTCCCCGCTCAAAAATCGCAGAAATTAGACTTATAACCGAGCAGGGGGCAGAAACACGACTATGTTTCTCAAGCCGTGTTTTAGCCCTTCCCTTGGTTGTTCTCGGCACTAAAAACATGGGCACAGGAGGGAAAAACACGGTTGTGTTTCTCCTTCCCGTGTTTATTCCTCCAAACCTGTTCCACTGTCTTTGATGCTTTGTTTCTTCCTCGTCCGGACTCCGAATCAGTCGCATTTTGATCTCAGACGCTCATAGTCTCGTCCTCTTTCTTTTCATGACAAGATTACATAATTATTTTTCCATAAAATGATTTAGAAATCCATTCATCTTCAGGTCATGCCCGAGTTTCTTCTCCCGAATCGCCAATTGATCTCTGATTGACTTGAAACTTGTGCCTATGCTTCACTTTACATGTTAGGACCTGAAATGTGACAAAGGAACACAATCTAGCATAAAATAGACAAAAAATGCACAAACTCGAGCCAAAACGATAAAGAAACGAGGGTGCAAACATGTGCAAATATGATGCTATCAACACACCCACCCCTCAGGCGTTCTTGCACTAAGTCTTCATCGCTAGGGGAAAATGGATGACTACGGGTTGAGTAGCCACCAAACCACTAAACAAATGCAAAATCAAGGAGATAACCACAAAAACCTAACACTTCTCACGCCTAAGGGGCAAATGTTGGGCTAAATATTGAGGCGTTTGAGCCTCCAAGCCCACATAGCAGTAAAACTAGGCCGAGTCCAGATGAAATCACAGGCCACAAGATCACTGAAACATGCAATAAATTTCCCCGGAAGCGGTCCCTCATTGCGTCTCAGGAGACCTCCCAACATAAAAGGCATAATGACTACCCAGCTGTCCTAGTACGGAGACTAACAAATGTATATACTGAGTGCACATTAATGCGCCCCAGAAGTGTCCCTAGACGCCTGACACCATATCAAATTCCCTCATCATAGCCAAAGTGGGTATAAATATCCCCTATTGGTAGCATATATGGTAACTCTCAACCACTACTCTCTCTCTCTCTCTCTCTCTTATTTACTATTCTCTTATTTCTCTCTCCAACTTAAGAATCGGAAGAGGTCTCAGGATTCCCCTAGGACCTTTCTTGCAGGGATCGTGTAACCGTCTCCCCCAGAAGCCTAGATCCAGCTCGTGCACCTCACAAACCGCTTGGGACAATCCGGGATCAAACACTTTCGTAGAAGAGTCCATCCCTCCATGGAGAACTGACAAACTAAGGAACCAGATTGCTTGTTTTCGGTAACGCACTTGAGAGTCGTTGAACGAAGCGTGAGAGAAATTTCAGGTAGACCTGGCAATCGGGTTGAGTTGGGTAATTTCGGGTTGGGAATCTCGGGTTACAGGTCTTCACGGGTCGGGTCATGATGGGTTTGCTGATTTCGGGTCAAATATTGACCCAACCCATCGGGTTTCGGGTCGGGTTTCGGGTCGGGTTTCGGGTCATGAGTGTTCTCAGAAACAATATCAAACATACGTCATAAATTTTTAAAGAACACAAATTTTAAGTATGTGCGACAATAGTTTACCTAGCACATGTCAATTAACAAATGCTCAACTCCTTCCATGCTAATAAAAAGAAATACAAATTGCACAAATTGTCAAAAAACAATGACGAAAGTAATACTAGTACAATAAACAAATGATGTTTGATTATCTTAACACTCCAAACTTGTCTTCAAATCCTAATAAAAATTTTTAAACATCTCACCAAAGTATGAGTGATTTATCATTTTGAGAGTGACATATGCAATGAAACGGGTCTACGGATCGACCTACAAACCAAACCAACCCGGCCCAAAAACTACGGGTTAATCGGGTTTGGGTCATTCGGGTTTCGGGTTATAAAAACCTCGACCCATTCTTTATTTTTCGAGCGGGTTCGGGTCGGGTCAACGGGTCAGGTCCTCATCTGCCAGGTCTAATTTCAGGAGCTCATTTGTTATTGCCCTCATCATGGCATTGGGCAACAACACTTGGTGAACAACTTCAACAAGGGTCTCGACTTAAATATCACGGTGATGGTGAATCAGGCTATCGAATGTGACATGATGCAAATGATCACCACTCTAGCTCTCGAACACTTCGCGTCTATGGCTGCAAAGTTTCGAAACTAGTCTAGGAGGACTACTTCTATGATCGTCAAAATGGTGCATCAACTAGATGACCCCTTCGTCGGTCTGTTTCAGCAACTAGCAAAACTAACCCATGACTAACAACTAACAAGATTTTTTTATGGTAACTACTCAAACTAACAACTTGTGCTCGAGATAACAAAGCAAAGATAAAATACATTTTTAGATAGTTTCATTTAGACAATCATGCATACAATCTCATTAATTGCAAGCATCGATGCATATTTAATCATGTAACCATATCGCTTCCATTAAGGGCATCCTAGTCGAACTTTCGCCACATGAAAAAGAAATTATTACTAGCTAATGCGCGTTTTCACTTTATGTCACTTGACTAATCAATCGAACAAGTATGAATAGCACATTAACGATTTTGAACCTCTACAAACCATAGCATTGATGATTTAAGGTATCAAGTATTGATACGGATGCTGGTTTGTATACGTGACAGACTAAATACATCTGTACATGTACGTTTGTGTGTATATGTATGTGTAAGTCACTGTTCTAATACACCGCATTACGCAGTTATAAATGCAGTTGAGTGTCCCAGTCTTTCTCTGGGTATATTACATTACTCTTTTGGCTATTTCCCGCTTTATTCACATATACTATTGTTTCGATTTGTCAAAGCAGGTTGCGGTCTCGAAGCTATTTCATATCATGTGTACTGTAATGGATGAAAATTGGGGATGAAATTGCTGAGCGGAAAATTTAATGCAGGATGATGACGGTACTACATCTGGGGTCTTGTCTGAACGATGTAGATTTTGCCATCTCGTACCACGCCTTCAATGTCTTGTGGAGATCCATAGAGCTCCTCGATTGCATGCCCTGCACTCGCAATCTTTGAGAGAGTCGACTTCTGGAAGTTGTCGTCGATCATCAATGGATCGGACGAGTAGTCTAGCACAACTTTCTCCTCTTCGTCCATTGGCACACTGTATGGTCGAGAGTGGAGGAAAATGAACATTGAGGAGAGGGGAGCGAACAATAATGATAGCCTGACAGTTTCTTTCTGGGCAATGGGGAAGCTTTCGGTTTTACCTGTCATACAAGCCTGCACCGGCATAGCCTTCTAGATCTTCACCATTGGAGTCTGAGCGAAAGATGATTGAACGTCTGATGAAGAGCCCAATGGGTTTGCTAGGATAACCGAGAACCTGAAACGTATGGCTCATCGTTAGTTTGTGGCTGTGTTTTTGTTTGGGGTGATCATGTAAGGTAGTCAGCTTTTTTCACCTGTGGGGAGTTCAGGTCACTCTTCTTGCAGATAAAACTCAAAGCACGACCAGGATAAGCACCAACGAGAGTTTCTCCAAGTCCTTTCACGACCTGCATCAAGAAGAAAATTTGATTTAAATTAAAACTATTCAATAGGACGAAAGGATGGTAGTCGGAGGAAAGACCTCAGCATATATCTCTGAGGAGTCTCCTGAGGATGGATTCGTAGTATGGATGACGAACGCATAATCAGCATTTATGATTTCCTGCACCAGGACGGCCATGCAGAGATAATCATGCTCCAACTTAATTTTCTTCGTGCTGAAATATGCTCTTTCGTTCCACTTCGAAGCCCAGACCTGAGATTTGGAAGCAGTCATTCACCGTAGCAATCTCCAATACCAAACAAACCTTTCGTCAAGGCGCCAAATGTTCTGGTGTTTAGTTTAATGTCATGATGGAACTTATATTGGCAGAATTCCAAATATGGTATTTAAGAAAACCCTGGAAACTAACATCTTCTCTTCGGCAAATGTTCAAGTGTATGGTAATGTTTATGTAATACGCAGACTCCATGTTAAAAGCATCATAATGGCTATGAACAGGCAATAAGATACGATTGCCACACAAAACTTTCATACCGTTATAGTTCCAGTTGGTCGTAGGTGCAGAGAGAAGGACCCGTACCTTCTTAATAGCCGTCCATGCTTGCTCCCATCTCTTTTCCCCTTCGTCACCTGGCCATGGCATCCCAGAACTCTGCATCTCGGTTTTCAACTCTTTAACCTGAAATTAGTTTTACCCTAATAAATCTCATATAGCATCCCATAAATCTCATCTATCATGTTCTTAGCTCGGATTGCTTGCAACAAAAAAAATTGAGCATAACAGTCAGACATGATGGACTACGGTGTGAAAAAGGACCTAAAAGTTTGGCCAATCATGCAGTCAAGATCTTGATTAGGAAAGGGTGCAAGAGGGACTGAGTAAGCTATCCGCATGCTAATAACTCCTACGGTTGCTTTGCCATAGAAAAGTTTAAAGGACGTCGGCTGTAAGAACGTAAATTTTCTGTTTACGAATTACACACCAGCTGTGGTGGAGGTAATAGCTCTAAAACCGTCTTCCGGATGTCCGCCAGAACAGCAAACTCTCCTCCATCCAATTTCCTCTTCAACAATTGGAGCTTCTTCTCAACTTCCTGGCATTAAGGTGTCAGGAGGACATGTGAGACCAAAAGAAGGAAACTCTCAAAATGTTTTGAGATGAAATCTCCACCTTATTCAAACCATCCGCTAGAACCTCCTCAAAAACTCCAAAAGGTAAGGCCACTGATGTCGGAACACCGATCCATGATGGAACTTTTCCTTTCAGATATGAGATATTGCGGGACTTGGCACCAACCTGGCAATTAGTTCCACAAATACATTAACAATCAATTAAAGGGTGATCCAGCACAAATTTATGATTCAGTTAAACCTAATAGAGTAAATAGAAAGTTACCATTTGACCAGTGAAATCGTCTGATGATATGGCATATTTTCCCTTGAACTCCTTTTTTACCAACTTCAGAGATGCAGTACTAACATCGGTTGAGCTAGTTGAACTGTAACTTTCCAGCTCATCCTCTTTTATTTCACTGCAATTCAGCAAAAAATTGTCTACTTAATAGTTCACAGCACATAATTCACAAAGAATTTGCTATTTGGTCGCACAATCATGTGTATCCATCATCAAAACCATTTCACCTATTGAGAGTACCTGTAGACTACATCCGCAGAAGTAGGTTTCAGACGCAATAGTTTTCCCTCACTCGCTTTGAGGTTGTCCAAAATGTTAGGGTCAAAACATGTAGCAAAGCAAACCTGTCGTTGATTTACATTTCCTTCTCAGTAATCACATCTTGAATATTTTGACAATTGCATCTTAATTTACTACACTAATACCTTGCCATTTCTTGCACGTACAGATACGTGTGATAGGACATCAGGCATATCAGGTGTTAGCACAGCAACTGTGCCATCTGGTATTTCCTCTTCACCTTTCACTCTTTTTGCAACTAATATCGTAGGACGGTCATAAGTTTTGTTCTGTACTGTGAGCAACTCCTCCACAACAACGACGTACCCAACTGCTTCGACTGGGCTGATAACCTGCCAACTGCTTGCCACCAGCCAATAGTATTGCAGATTAAGGTGTACACGCAATCAGGCATTTGAAAGCATATCTCGTCAAGGCATAAAGAGATACCTAGTTTTAGGTGGATAAACTACCAAGTTGAATGCTGATATAAATTTAAATCTCATCCTCATGACAACGATAGTCTTGTTAACTACTCATAGAATCTTTTTGATAAGGGAACTACTCTTAAGAATCTTTGAAGGGTCCATCTACTAACCTTCCAAGATTTGCAGTCTTACGTAGAACCGGATCGAGTCTATTAAGAAGTGAGGACAGAGCAGCAGCCGAACCACCACGGATTACCTCTTCTGTGAATATATTGACCTGTAAGAGTAAATATAAGGCCCATGCAAACAAACAAATGTAATGAGCATATGCTGGACCTATGTGTGTGTGTCTGCAGAAGAAGTTCTAAATCAGAGAAAAGAGCAGCGTACAGCCCACTGATCTACTCCAAGCAGTGATCCAAGATACTCTGCTGATGGTTGGAAAATTTGCTGATACCACTCTGCCTTGCCAGCAAGGGCAAGGCGAGTTCTGTCCAAAATTGATTTTGCATATAATGCCCAGTTGCTACTCCTTGAGTTGCACATATTTAAGGCATGATTCCATCCCTGGATAACCATGAACAACACAACATATCCCAAATGTTCAGGAGGCTCGGCAGAATCAAAAGGATCGCCAAATGCTGGCTGAGCCAGGGATATCCGAACCTCAATATACCTTTAAGCAGTAAATAAGATCTTCATTATTATCCGATGAAAGTGCGAGATTCTCAACTACCAAAGTAATGAAATACATAATTTTCTGCAAAATGAGCAAGCAGTCAGTCAACTTTAAAAAGGGACAAAACCTAGGCAGTTCAGCAAATAGAGAAATTCAAAGCTTAATCGTATACAGCAGGCCCAACAAATTTAAGTTAATAATACAGCATACCTCAGGGCCAGCATTATTTAATTCCTCATATCCTCTTTCAATGGCTGTCCTAACTGCAGAATCAAGGGCGATGTCTAAAAACAAAACATCCTTCAGACGAGAATTAGCCTTGACCAGTGATGGCCTAAGCTCCTGACGAGCTTCGAGCAAACCCTATACAAAATATAAAATATTAATTATGAGCACTGGGGAGAGTGATTATCATCAACTTGAAACAGAAGCCAGCTTCTAGACATGCATCTCATTTACCTCCAGAAGTGCTTCAACATTCCTGTCCTCCACATGTTGTAGGACAAATTGAAGCAATTCCTGTTTCAAGTGACACAAATGAACAGATATGGTACTTACAGAAGTCTATCCTTGCACATGACATCTAGGAAACCAATTGAAATCAGAACTGCAAATGTTACCGGAAACCCAGACGGTAACCCTGAGACTGGATTAATCTGCACGCCGACCATAAAACCTTGTCCCTGACAAGAATTATAATTTAAGTCCCATCAAACCATTGAAAAGCGGGTATGCAACAGGATATTCTATTGACTAGTTACCTCTGCTCTATAACCCATACAATTTGCAACAGCAGACTCAAGATCTGCACCTGAATGCACTGCCTACAATCAAATGAGATTGAATAATAAATATGACAGAAGCCAAATCAATACAAGGTTATAGGAAAACACTACTTTATCCGCAGAAACAAACAGAAAACTATTGTAACCTGTAGAAACACTGTTTCAACCAAACAAGCACATTGAATTTCAGATTAAGATGAGAACATTAACCATCCTCTTGTTATGACTCAGTTAATGCAGAATGATGATGAGAACACTAGTCAGAAAAAAGAAATGCAGAATGAAGGCCATTCCCCTGCTCAGTCCTGGCTTCAACTGAAAAGATCCAGCTTAAGCTCATAAATGGTTGAGGAAATGACCTTCAAGGTCCTCATATAGCTTCCAAGATCACGTAAAAGACCATCTTTTTGATCCCTTCTGAAATTTGGTTCAGAATGTATGGCACGATCATAACTTAAAAGTCGCTCTTTTGTGATTCCGTTGTCGTTCAAAGTTCTCCAATAAACACCGAGGTCAAAGTCACAATTGATGTAATCAATTAATGCCTGAAAGAAAAATCTCCCTTAAGAAGCTTGTAAAACCAAAAAAATAATAATAATTGGAAAGTCCACGAAATGATAGATCACAGTACCTGGCAGATTACAACATCATCTGGGCTAGTGTTATTGTGCAATTTTTGGTGCCATTCTTCCATCATTCCACCTTTGCAATCATTATTTCTCTTGAATCAGCAAGTCCATGTGTTAGCCAGATAAGTCATGGTAAAGAAAAGAGGAAAATTGTCAAAGTGAGATAAGTGACCTGTGTCATTACAGACCTGAATAACCAATATTTCGTCACGAATACGCTGTCCAACATCTCCTTCACCTCCTCTTCCAACAGTTGACATAATCAGTCGCAAAAACTCTCTATACTGTGGATAGGAAGTATAAATATCCTGGAGCAAGTCAGTAAGCCTATCCTGGGCTTGACTAATCTCACTGCACCAACATACAAAAAGGAAATTAGCATTCCGCATGTGACACATATGTGGACCAGTGAGCAGTTGTCATGAGATTGAAATAACAAAGCAAGCAAGAGAAAAAGAAACAAGTAAAACTGTAACAAGCAAGCAATTGAAACCTTTCATGTCAGTGCAATGAACCAACATAAACAACTCAGCTACCATTTCATGCAAGCAGAATTCCTTATGAGATTTACCGTGGTTTGACGTTGTAATTTTTGTTCCATATAAGCTGCCGCGTAGCCATAAACCTCATCCACACAAATATAGCCGCAACACCTAAGATTCCAGCCTCCTTGGCTTGATCCATCAGATCAGATGCAATATTAAACCTAGAAGATAAGGGCATAACAAAAATGACCTTCAAAACATCGTACAAACCTGAACAGAATCATGCAGGATTGAAATTCATGAACTGGAAGTTTAAAATATGCACAAATCTAACCGGTGCATGAATGACTTCTGTGCCTCCTCTTCCAACTCTGCGATTCGATTCAATGTTGTCTTTGCCGTACCTCTTCCATCACCTACGTCCTTTTTCTCAAGAAACTTCAGTCAATTAATTTGGGAAGACGACGAGAAAAGGTACAAGAAATAAGTCTTAAGATATCCAACAGAGAGCAACCTTTTGCACTTGCTTAGGTGCGCTGGCAAATTCAACGTAGAAGTCTGAGCCTTTGTTTTTTATCCAGTTTCCCTTGGACAAGAGAACGAAAGGCATTCCTACAAAACTATCATCTTCAATCTCTATTTGAAACGTCTGGACCTGGAAATAAAAGTGCTAACATGAGGACGACCTGTTTGCATATCTAATGGACAGGCCAAACTACATATATCTTTAGATTCTGTTCAAGCCAGCAATACTTATCCTACTGCCAACCCGGATTCCATAACTAGAGCATGTCTTAGATTCACATGTCATTAATAATGACAAAACTACAATGACAAACTCGTAAACCTGATAAGGAAGTTCAGCAGAAGACTTAGTTAGTTGAGTTTGAGCCGATTCCTCTTGAGTAACTGAATCTGGGGGCAAGACGGTTGTAGGTGGTACCTGTAGAATATGATATGCATCACATATACTGATGCTAACAAGAATCTTCTCTGTTCTAGTTGTCTTTTTTTGTAGATGATGCATTAGGAATCTTACCGACCACTCTTTAGGCTTTTTAGCCAAAGCCCAATGAATAATAGTCGACTCTTCAAGGTCAGTAACAAGATTAACCTTGACTTTGCCACCAGGCTTGCTCACAACTACCTGCATAAAATGTTGCAAGTATGGGGTCAGCACATATACAGAGAAAGATACTCTTAGATAATAAGTGGTAACCAACACCAATGCCACAGTTATCATCTCACCAAGATCTCCTTATCTCCAAGCTTGAAGCTTTTTTTGTTGATGATAGTGTCGCCATCTTGTTCTTCTACAGCTTTGGCATAGAGCTCAACTGGCTTTGCAGATTTTCGTTCCACAGGGATTGCTTGCTCTGTACAGTCAACACTGTATGTAGTAACAATTTGTGTCAAGTCCCTCTTCTTGCGCTGAATCCTTTCAGTACTGAAGTTATTTTTCTTGTTTGCCTGCTCAGAAATCTTCTTATGGGTCTCGCCTTTGGTGATCTTCTTCCTCGTCTCATCCACAGAGACATCTCTGCTGGCCTCTTTAATTTCGGTTCCATCATTTTTAATATTCAGCTTTAGCCGGAGGTCTTCAATGGAAGAACCCTTGGCTACTTCCTCTAATAGCTCGGCACGAGCAGCTTCATATTCCTCCTACCACAGCCAGAGATATTATTATTTGTTTGGAGTTACAAACCACAAATAGTATCTAAAACGGAGAATTCTACGATCCTGGGAGAAAATCGATAATGAAAAGGACGGACAGCCAACGCAATCTGTAAATAAATGTATAGTTCACATTTTGAATATGCGGAAATTTCTCAAACCAAGCCACCCTAGAACAAACAGGGGCAGCCATATAACAGCCTCTCCTCGTTAAACAGGGGCCTAAACACAGGGCTAGTAAAATCGTGCTTCGAGAGGCACATAAAGAAGCTTGTAAGAAATCGTATTGGAGTGTTCAACGGAAGGAAAGGAATCATAGTGAAGCTGAAGAATACATGAAACGTCAACCACAAGCTAATCTATGAAACATGCTGCTCGTGGAAACTAATTCAGGCTCAAACAAATGCAAATGAGATGGTCCCTTTGTACAGGATATATAAGACAACAAATCCAAATTGTGTTTCAGCTTTTACTCATTGTTTTGCTAACTCTACTTTCGGAATGGCCTAGCAACCGTTGCCTGAATGTACTTATGGGGAACTGTGAATAAAAATTAATGCTAAAGATGCTAATAGACAGGAGCCAAGAAGAAGAAAAAAAAAAGAATATAGAAAATGCAACCTCCGCCCGTATTAATTAATCACTTTTCATGACAAACAAGTATACTTGCCTTCTCTTGTTGAGGTGTATACATTTGTTTGCCTTTTCTTTCCCATCTGAGATATGCCTGAACTTGTACAAGATCTTCAGGAACTGATACATTTGGAACTGTCGATTTCTCTCTCGTGGGCAACTTTACATGAAAGTTCTGGCCACTATTTTTAAACCTACAAACAAACGTAATCAGAAGATTCAGATATCAATCTTACAAATGAATTTCAGTGACCTTGCAAAACAAACAAATTGAAGCTGACCATTTGTTTTTGGCTTCATCAAATATAAGGAACTCAATAGCTTGGATGTTAGGATCTTCAATCTCCAGTTTAAGGACAGAACTTGAACCAGCCTTAAAGAGGATGAAAGAATCATCAGACAAAGTAAATGACTGGATAACTACAAATTTAGCTCAAATAATTTTTTAATTGGATAATGAAGCTAGTGAACAACTCCTGCTGGCTCATACCTGTGAGAAAAGCGTTCTAAGAGCCCTATTTTTATAGTTTTTCGTTCCATCTGGGCAGCGAGCAGGAAGCACCCATTTCCTAAGGAAGACAGAGGAAGATATATAGAGAATGTAACTAAGATATTGTCATAAGTAACTGTAGCATAAATTACAAGCTAGAAGAGCCTACCCGGAAACAAAGCCACATTGTGAAAGACATTCATATAGTGAGTCACAACAACTTACTCTGTTCTATCACGTATCCCACCCCAGTGGAGAATCAATGAGTCACTGCTGTATGTTATCTGAATATTTACAATAGTAACCGATGCAGTAGGAGCATTGCTAACGAAAACCTGTTCATTGTGAAGCATACAATGTATCACGAAAAAATATCCAAGAAAATTACTAATTATCCCAGAGTTTAATGAGAAGCACCTGCAATTCTGTATTGTCATCGACTTTGAATTTACCTGCAAGCTGGTCAAAGAGAATGATTCTGTTAAAACCCATGAGAAAGGTGATGTGTAACTAGTTTTCCTACAAACATAAGTATGACAAACTGACATTCCAATGTGCTTATTGACACTTTTGCACAAGAAAATGCAGAACAATACAATGTTTAAGTTCCCATTTGTTTTCATCTACGAAAGCACGAACTTGCACTTTCAAGCATGTAAAAGCAATATGAAACATGAGTTTCAAAAGTGAAAGTAAAACAAGATGTCAAAAAATAAGCCAGATATCCTAGAAAAACAGTCATCCGTGTAGTTTTCAGTTCAGCATACATCATGCAACACATGACACTCTTTGCCACAAACCGAAAGAGGCAGACTGGTTTAGCTTCTGGATGGATTCAAGTGTCAACTTGCAAGATAGTGGCCAGAAGACAGTGTTGCTACTTGTATCTCCGACATGTGTAATGTAGTTCCAACCAGCTTAAACATGATAAAATGAGGTTCATGGATCTTGATCAACATATAAGAAAAGCGTATGTCCCAACCACGGCTCCATCTTCGGATCTTACAGCTAGCAGTCATCAACAAGTGTGTAATTACCTCGGATGGCGGTTCCATGGCCAGTACAGCTTGTGGCGTGACTGCAACAGGGTGACTTGCCCCAACAGACACCTTTGATCTCCTCGCTTTCAAGCTTCTTCCATAGAAACTGGAGGATGGTAGAGTCCTATGCGTTGGGACTGCAGCTTGATTCACAGACGCAGATTTGAACAAGGTGCTCGCAGGAATGCCAGAATAATTAGGTTTGGTTCGGTGGTCTACACCCGTGGGATGAAGCAAACTCCGGTGGAATAAATTATGACCTATGCTATTACTCATGTTCCTCTTGATGCAATTCTTAGACCTGAAGAAATCCACCAAATAAACGAAACACGGCAATTCAAGTTCAGAATGCTAGGGAAACGAATCTACAGTCAGAACGAAGTAACATAAAGTTTTAGCAGCGAGGCAGAATCGTGGTCCGCTAGGCATACACAAAACCGAGAGAATCAAAAGGATCGATGTATCCATTAAGTGAAGAGATTAGTCAATTATTACAAAGATAAGGAGCAGAGCAGCTTGGACACAAGCCAAAATCAAAATAAATGTGACGAACGTATAGCATCCAAGAATACAACTTTCGCAAAGACGAACGACCAAATCCATCGCCAAGTTTCCCGTTCGATTCTGCCATTTCCTTCTGGCAATTTTCTCGGCAACCAATTGGAAACACGTAACGGGAATCGCAACCGAATAACAAGAAAAGGAATCGGCATTCAAAATTGACAGTCCATTTCTAGAGGTCCCAAGCTGAAAACTAAATTCGCGCCAAAAAAAATTACAAATGCGGTCGGAACCCCTACCTTGAGCGCAGAAAAAGCTATAATGCGATCCTGATTCGAGGAACTGCAGCTCTGCTGGGCGAGGAAGATATAGCGTTGGAGAGCTGGAAGAAGAGTGCGTTCCTGATACTTGGCTGTCCCTGACTATGGATGGCGCGACGGACCTCACAGTGGGGAAAAGGGAACGAAAGGGAAAAAGAGACAAAGAAAGAAGCAGAGGAGCGAGAGAACTATACTGTTATCGTGATCGATCGACACGTGGCGAGATATGGTCCGGAAATTTATAGACATGTCTGTTGGGATCGGTGAATTCTCACGTGCCTGGGGTGAGGCGGGGAAAATGGAGAAACGTCTTGAGATTTGAGAAGAAAGAGTGCGATCTGATTGGGCCGCGTCCGTGGGAGTGGGGTCCGGCCATGGTTGATATTTTACGGGAAGGAATTGCTTCGCCCAGAGATTTGAATCAATTTACGTGTCTCGCCACTATCGCTTTCAGCAAATTCATCTTCTTCTTTTTTATGGTTAATAATTCATCTTGTCTAAAGCTTTTAATTTTTTTTCTTCTTCTTAATTGTGTGTTCTTTCTTGTTCAACTTTTTTGTTGTTATTTGAGGGCAACGATATTTCTATGGGTTATGCATTAATCAATAATCAAATATAGTTTCATTTAGAAAATTCAGATCTAAAGATGGAGAATTAAAGACTATTTTTATTTTCTCTAGCTTTATTAATCTGCTCATATATTTTTTGTTTTAATTTGGATTTTTTTTTTGCACAGGTGGAACGATTTCATCGTGCTCTACAAAATGAGATCAATTTTCAATATTTTTTAGAACAAAAAATTCTGGCCTCTCGGTACCAACTGCATACTATATGGTATTTTCTTCGTTTTTAATTCATTTTTGAAAACGTTTGCACAGAAGGGACGAGTTCATCATGATCTGTTGGATCTACAAATTTCTGGGTGAACAAATTACATGACAAAAAAATACCACACAATATCATACAATACCACCCTGGTACGAGGTGGTATCTTATGGTACACAATGTGAAAAGTCGTAAATAACAGTTAATATATTTCTACTATCATGTATTCAACCATCCTACAGTCTTGGTTTGTTCATACCACCATGGTACGCTTTTGAAGAGCACAATTAATATGATCTAACTGTGTAAAAAAATTATATTTCGACTTAAAACGAGTGAGAAATCGTTCGGCAAAGATTAAGGAGGGGAAAATTAAAGACTTTCCAGGAGAGAGAGAGATGCAGATGTGGACAGGTTACTCACCATAAGGTTACTGTTGGGCTGGGTAGGGATCTTCCTCTAAAGACCTGGGCCCATAAGAGACCCAGGCCCAAAAGGCCCATTCAAACAAGCCTATTGCTACTGGGAACGACGCGAGGCGTGACGCAAGTGGGCCCTGAATCCCTGAGCGTGAAAGGAAGGTACGACCGATGGGACAGGAGCAAGGGGTCATCATGCGACAGCTGACAGGAGCATTAAATGCGGCCGCAAGCGTAATCTCGGGATTAGCCATAAAGGGACACGCACAGAAAAAGGATCAAGGGAGAGCCGAATTAACACCCACTATAAATACAACAGAGACACAGCATTTATTGGTAACTGACCTACCCACATTCTCTCTCTATTTTCTCTCTCTTCTATTCTGACTTAATCTTTGGAGAGTGTCCGAGGCGAATGCCTCCGGACCCTTTCTGCAGGAACGAAGTCTCCACCGTTCGGAGGGAAAGCGTGATTCCAGCTTAATCAGTCTCCAACCTGCCTGGTACATCCTACGCTTAAACAATTTGGCGCCCACCGTGGGGCTGATTAGAAGGAATCATAAATTCACTACGAATGGAGGGGGACTCAACCACTCCCATGAAAGAGGTCGTGGGGGGCCGGACGTTGCGGGGACTGTCTCCCCAAGTGGAGGACGAGATGGAGCTGGAAGACAGGGTGAAGGACCAAGGCCAACAAATAGCGGAAATGCAAGGCAACATTAACCAGATACTATCCCTCATCAAGGAAGGAATGAGGGAGACCGAAGACCCCCCCCCCCCCCCCCGGAAGCGTCCCGACGCGCAAAAGAGAAGGGAAAGAAGGTAATCGCGGTCGACGGACCGGAAGAAGTCGAAGACGAGGGGCGAGAGGTAGACTTAAGCTTCCTTGAAGAACACTTACAGTCAAGCTTCGGAAAAGGAAGTGGCAGAGTGAAGGGGCCTAGCATCTTACACAACCCGCTGGCGAAGAAACTTTTCAAGAATCCAGTGCCTCCGAATTTCTCCTCACTGGGCCTACCGACCTACAACGGGAGCACGGACCCAGGAGATCACCTAAGCGCTTTCACACTGAAGATGCAGCTAATCAACGCCACTGATGCCGACTTATGCAAAGCGTTTCCCATTACGTTTGGCGGAAGATGTCGAGCTTGGTACACCTCGCTCCCGGAGGGAATCATCGACAACTTTGAACAATTCGCAACATTGTTCTCAGCGAAGTTCGCCTCCCAAATTCGCAGAAGGCTGACGATCACGGCGCTTATCAAATGCACCCAAGGAGAGGAAGAAACCCTAACCGACTACTATGACCGGTGGAACACCATCGCCTGCGAGGTTCAAGGCATAACGCCCAGCGTGGCAGCGAGAAACCTCATGATGTCCACACGAAGCAAAGAACTGCAGCGGGCCCTGATAAAGAAAGAGCATAGCCTGAGCACCTGGCCAGACCTTGACTACCTGGTAAGGCGAGCGATAACTCTGGAGGAGGCCTGGGCTCCGGCGGGGAGAGCAACTTCGGGGATGAACAAGGAAGGAAGAGGAAGAGTAAGGGACGCGAGAAGAGGGAACCAAGTATCACCCAGGAGGGGAAGATCTCCCGAGCGCTCGGGTTACAAACCAAAGGCGCGAGGAGGGGAAGGAAGAAGAGAAGTTTACGCAAATGATAGAGAAAGGGAGGATGGCAACGCTGGGCGAGCGCGAAACGATCGGCCACGCCCTGAGGAGCAAAAGCGTGCTGAAGCTCCGGTTTTCAGAAGATGGTGCGACTGGCATCAGAAGGCCACACACAACACGGTGGACTGCCGTGACTTCCAGCTAAGTCTGGCCAACTTGGCCCCGGGCGACCTCCGCAATCGCCTCGAAGCCAAAAAGCAGACCAAAAACAGATCACCTTCCCCCAGAAGGAAACAGAGTCGCTCACCAAGAAGAAACCGATCCCGGACGCCAAGAAGGGGGAGATCCCGCTCTCGCTCACGCTCACGGAACCGAAGGAGAGAAAGATTGCCCTCCCCACCAAACGCACCCCCACCTCGAAGGCAGCCCCGCCTTGACGAGGACGATTTAGAGGTCATAACCATCTCTGGGGGGGTGAAGAAGCGACCTCGAGCGTCTGAAGATTCCCGGTGCCTGACAGTATCTCCATCCGCGGAAGTCGTTTTCAACGCCTCCGAGCTGGCAAACCCGGAAGCGGCGGAAGACCCCCACCAAGCGCTGCAGATGATACACCAAGGGACGTGCGCTACCCACATAGGGCCCCGAAGCTTGGAAAGAGCAATTCTTCTTCAAGGCTATTATTGGCCAACCGTCAAGCGGGACGCCCTAAAGGTTGTGCAAGAGTGTCACGCGTGCCAAGCTCATGCAGACAAACACCACCATCCCGCCTCGGACATGAAAGGGATAGTCAGCCCCTGGCCTTTTGCAAGATGGGGGCTAGACTTGCTCGGACCTTTCCCAAACGCGCCCTTGGGAAAGAAGTACTTGGTGGTAGCTGTGGACTATTTCACCAAGTGGATAGAGGCGGAGCCCCTGGAGACCATAACAAGCGCACGGGTGCAGAAATTTCTCTTCAACAACATCATGATACGCTTCGGCGTCCCAGAGGAAATTATTACCGATCATGGGACTCAGTTCGATTGCCGCCCATTCGAGAAATTTTGTGCCGAGCACAACATCAAGTGCCGAATGGCGTCCGTAGCGTTCCCACAGGTGAACGGGCAGGTAGAATCCTCCAACAAGCTCATACTGAGAGGACTGAAAAGACGCCTGGGAGACGCTAAAGGAGCATGGACCACGGAGCTTCCTCACATCCTTTGGGCACACCGCACAACATATAAAACCGCAACGGGGGAGACGCCTTTCGCTCTCACCTACGGTTCGGAAGCGGTCATACCGACAGAAGTGCAACTTCCCACCTTACGCATTCGAGCATACCATCCAGATGCGAATCACGCCAACCTTCTCCACCAACTTGACATGACGGAAGAAAGAAGAGAAGCCGCGCTCACGCGTACGATTGAAGAGAAGGAGAAGGTTGCGAAAGCATATAACAACAAAGTTCGCCCACGCCCCCTAGTGGAGGGTGACTTGGTGATGAAGAGGATGTTTGACAAGAAGGAAAAAGAGCGACATGGCAAACTCGCCGCGAATTGGGAAGGACCCTACTTGGTCAGCGACAAAATAGGCCCCAGCACGTACAAGCTAGCTACGATGGGCGGGGAGCCGGTAAGCAAAACATGGAACTCTTTGCACTTGCGCAGATATCATTTGGCTAACTAAGATGTAAAGGCTTTTGGGAATCTTGCGTGCGAAATGAAGATGTTTTTTCGGCAACGGTCTCAGTCCAATATTCAACGCATCCCGGGACATGGGTTGCTCCGTACGTCACCCCGAGACAGGACAACCCGCCCGCGGAATGCCCTTCAGGGGCAGGAGCTCGCTCATAACACGCCACCCCGAGGCAGAGCGAGCCTCCCAAACATTAAACGCATCCCGGGACATGGGTTGCTCCGTACGTCACCCCGAGACAGGACAACCCGCCCGCGGAATGCCCTCCAGGGACAGGAGCTCGCTCATAACACGCCACCCCGAGGCAGAGCGAGCCTCCCAAACATTAAACGCATCCCCGGACATGGGTTGCTCCGTACGTCACCCCGAGACAGGACAACCCGCCCGCGGAATGCCCTTCAGGGGCAGGAGCTCGCTCATAACACGCCACCCCGAGGCAGAGCGAGCCTCCCAAACATTAAACGCATCCCGGGGCATGGGTACAACCCGCCCTCGGAATGCCCTTCAGGGGCAGGAGCTCGCTCATAACACGCCACCCCGAGGCAGAGCGAGCCTCCCAAACATTAAACGCATCCCGGGACATGGGTTGCTCCGTACGTCACCCCGAGACAGGACAACCCGCCCGCGGAATGCCCTTCAGGGGCAGGAGGCTCGCTCATAACACG